CGAAATGCTACATGGCCAGCGTCAAAGGGCGGACACCAGCAGTGACACAAAGGGCGGACACTTCTTAAGAAAGAATTGAGAACCCCTAACAGTAAACTGCTTGGGGAAAATAGAATGCTACTTAAGCGCCTGATAAACGCCGATTTGCTCCTGCCTGACTCAGACAAGGCATGGCGTGAGCCACTGCCTGCACGGCTCGAAACTTTACTGATCAGAACCAAAGAACCCGATCAGCTGGAACACAACAGCCACTCCAGCGACGAACTCCTCGAGGCCGCACTACCGGCCAGGAGGCAGATCAAGAAAGATCTCGATCGGAGCGAGGAGGACGTTGGGTCCGCATAAGGATGATCCCCACGATGCTCGATAAGCGCTAATGTGGAACTTTTCCCTTTCCACGCTTTTCGTTCGCGCTGAGCGCGATATACCTTTCCAACGGTTTAATTCAGTAGCTGAACCACTTTGCGTGGCGGCTTTTGCTTAGCTTTAGTTTCAGCCTGAGACTGCACAGTAGCGTGACACTTGCACGCTTCAGAGCAAAGAAAATTGCGTCTGTCTTGTTTCCTGTTTTTGGGCCCCTGTTTACGCTGTTGTTTCAACTTGGTTTCTGCTGTTATGCTCTTATACAATGCATAGATATATATCACTTGGCTCAAGCTAGCGCGCTGCGTGTGAAAAGCAGCTTCGTTCGCCTTCGCTCACTCGCTCTCGCGCACTTCGTGGGACTGTGAGTTGAATCCGGGGATACTGTGCATTACATGCTCCACTGCGGGGGATTTGACTCTCACCCCACCCCCCTTACCCCTTCATCCTAGAGCACACATCAACTTTCCACGCAACTACCCACCTAAGTTTGTTACCCCCTGCCCCACAAACCCACCCCAACTAACCCCACCCCACCCCACCCCTTCATCTGAGACAGCGCGTCAACTGTCCACGCACGTATCCAAGTAAGGTTATTACCCACTGCCACCTGCCTTTGTGCCCCACCCCTTCATCCTACCAAACACATCAACTTTCCACCACCTAAGCTTATCGCCCCCGGCCCCCCACCCCTTCATTCGAGACAACGCCACCTGTCCACGCAAGTATCCACCTATGTGCATATACCCCCTGCCATGTCACCTTTCATGTTACAGAAGACATCAACAGTCCACGCAAGTATCCACCCAAGTTTTCCCCTGTAAGCTGAAGAACACATCGTTTCGGAATAGTTTCTGAATACGAAAAAAAAGTTTCTGAATGCAACGAAAATAGTCTGAATGCAAGGAAAACAGTTGCGGAATCCAACGAAATAGTTTCTGAATACGGCGACGTTGTTAATAATTGTTTCTGAAGACTAGTTTCTCAAAAAGGCGCCGTTTCCGAATACGACTGTGTTCACGAGCACCACCACCACCACCACTGCCACCACAACAACAACAACAACCACAAACACCCCCAGCGATGCATCGCAGTCTGCTTCTCCCCACCATGTCCTTTCCATCGTCGTGCCTCGTGGTTGTGCTGGCTCGCTGTTGGGCGTCAGCCCTTTAAACAAATAAAGCAATAAAGATATATATATATTTATTTATTTATTTAAACACGAATTAAAGCGCTTTACCTATATGTAATATGTATGTATATTCTGTATGTACTACATATAAACCTGCAACACGTGGTTTTACAAACATGGCAAGTAACAACTTCAGCTGAAGCGCCAGAGCCAGCGGCGTCAAATTCTGCCCGTTCCAAGGCCTCTTGAACAACACTCCGGCGTTTGGTCTGTTTTCGTTTCTTGGCGTCGCAGTTTCCTGACCAAAAAAAATCCGTAGGTGCAAGCCAAGTGCGCCTTGTGCACAAAATTTGAAGACCATGCTTCCAGCAAAGCACGATCTGTGATGTGTGTAGAGGCTAGCCCATGCAAAAGCTCACAGAGATCTTGCACAGAACAGCCAGGCATCAACCGAATCATTTCCGGCAGCAATGGAGCCATGGCGCTTTGTCGTGCTTCCAAACCAGCCACGGCGCTTGGGAGCCTCGCATAGCCGGAGATGATGGATGCAAGGTCTCGCGCTCGCATTGCATGACCACGTGAATGACCATCTATTGATCGACGAATCTCGCGCTGCAGTCTGTCAAGCGTTTTTGCATCGATCAGCGTTCCATTCCACGCCGCCAAATCCAATAACACGCTCGCCAGCTGCCGAGGACTGCAAGTAGGCAGCTCTTCTAGCAACCGGGCTCGTATCCATTCTACCAACTCTGGGGTTTCGTTCGCATTGACCATCACCGACGACCGGAGCAATGAAACCAAACCAGTTGCCTTCAGTCTTTGTCCATTTCTCTCCTGGTATTGCAGCTGCGAAAGCACGGCTTTCCATGCCACGCGCCTTGCACTGAAAAACCTATCAAAAGAAGCAACAAATCGGCATAGCTGTACAATATCGATTGGGTTGAAGCTCTTAAGCAATGTTTCGTCTTGCAAAACTTCCTGGACCAAGTCACCAAACGACGACGCCCAAACGTTTGTTCGGGCTAGCGCGCTGGCTGCTAGGCACAAATTGCGTCTATGATCAGGACAAAGCGCCATTTCGAGCGAATGCATTTGACTCAACCGTTCGGCCAAATATCTAATTGATGCCTCTTCTGGGCGGCGCGTCGTCCTTGTGGACGCAAGAGCCTTTAGAGTTGATGCGCAGCCTGCAAAGGTTGAAACATCCACAAAACCCACTGCTTGACGCAGCGCTGATGCTTTGAAGTCATCTTCATTCTTTATAGCAGGGTGCAAAGCTTTGGAGGTATCTCCGCCACGCGCTTTTCTAGTATGTTCTTTTGCCCGAGTCTGTATGTCTTTCCCTTCCTTCCCTCCATGCCCTGGATTGTTCTTTCTCAAGCGCTTTGACCCAAGCAAGGTTGGAGGACGTCCATTCAGCGGAAGTGCGTCGCCCACACATTCTGCGATTGTTGTGGAAAGGTCTCGCGCTTGTCCGACGAAGGCATGGCGGCGCGCAAAAAACATGCATGAATAGTCTACGATTCCAATGATACTGCTGATGAATGGCCCCCTTATTGAAAACAATAAGCCGATATATTCAAGAGCTCTTGTTTGCACAACGCTGCCAGCAAGCATACGCATCCGGTTCACCCCCGACAAACAAGGCTACGGCGAAGTTTGTACCCTGGGGGTTTTCGAGCTTTTCTAAACCTGTTTTTTTGGAAAAACTGTTCTGAAGTTCAAAACCTACTGCTTTGAACTATTTCCTACTGCTTTGAACTATTTCATGTTGAGTTGGTTTGAACAGAGAGTACAAAAGCACTGGCTCAGGACTCTGAAACGGTTTTTTCCTCAAGCACCCTGTGGTTTCAAGTTTCGCCGTTTCCGCGTAGAGCTTTTTTGACTCCGTCGCTTTGCGACACGGAGCTGCGGCGGCCTTCCAGAGATCATCCTTCTTCTGGTTGGCCCGCCACATCCAAGAAAGAGACAACAAAGATTCAACAGGAAGTCTCATGACCATGTGTCACCTAACTAGCCAAAACGCAGAAGACTCTAGCGTGTCACCACTTCAGAACAGACCTTCGCAGCTTCATCGTGTCTCAGACCACGCGTGCTCAAAACTTCCCAGCACATACGTTGTCCCTACAAACTGGCTGCCGTGGTTGTCAGAAACGTGTGATCTGGTGCAGCATTGATCATCAAGGCCACCATGGAAGCACGGTACCCCAACCGAGTACGGCGCGACACGAACGTAAACCTCCCCGCCCAAAAATTGACGCGCAAACGCACGACGCGCGACGGCCACCCCCCCCATGCCAGACGCCTGTGCGCCCTTGAACGCTGCTGGAAATGAATGTTTCTAGCCCCCCACCCACCCCACCCCCACCAACGATCGCCAATCTCCCGGCATCCAAAATCGATCTCGAAAAAGAAGCTGTATTTTCTCTGGGGTCACAAACAACGCCGTTGGCACGAACAAGCACCCCACAAGTGCAAGGCGACTGATACTATAACCCAGGCAACAGTCCAGACCGCGAGCTGGAGGAGGAAAACCCCACAACAGCGACGGCCAGTAGGCCCAACGAGCAGCAATGCCCACCAGGTGCCGCAGTAAGTCAAGCTATTGTTGGCGAGTCGCAGGAAGATGTGCACACCTATCCTGTAGAACCAGCCAAGCCCCCCAGGGCCCCGGCTCGCCTCCAACCCCACCAAGGGTCCGGAGGTGGTGTAGTGCTGGGGCTGGGAGGTGGCCCCGTCAGCTCATCAGGCAAGATCCATCTCAGGTCCAACGTGTTTGCGGTCAGCGTCCAAGTCCATATATGGACAAGGCGATCGCATCGCGACCACTCCCGGGAGAGCGTAAGACCTATGGGCTATACAGAACCTAACGGCCGCGGGCGGAAGCGCTGGAAACCTGACGAATGCAAGCTGTACCTTTAATTATTCACGACAAATTATTTGCTTGATTGACCCGACTTGGGCTGTCATAGCATTTTATATCAGCCATCAAAGCTCTATACATCTCTATACCAGTCTCCAACCTTTTACGTGCAAGATGAATATGGGAAGTCTGCCGTCAGAAGTCAGAACACTGGAATACGTCAAGGGTGCTCTTTAAGCCCCTACCTATTCCTACTGGTCATGACTTGTGTTGATGCTGATGTAAAGAGAAGGTGTTCAAACACAGTTGTTGATGCTAGAGTTCCGGGTGTTCACTTCGACGCGGTCGCTTACGCCGACGATACAATACTGTATTCAACCGACCCAAATGTCCTCAACGAACTTTTGTACTCTTTTGTATCACATAGAAGACTGTTCCCAACATTTTGGGTTAAAAGTCAACAGGGGGAAATGCCATTCTATCCACATGTACCATGATTCAGCAATACATTTTCAAGATCAAACCCCGTTGGAAAAAATCACGATGCTATATATCTAGGCAACAACTTAAACTATGCAGTGAACATAGCGAGGGAAGTTTCACCAAGAATCCAAGATACCAAACGGAACTGGCTGAGGCTTGATCTCCTATGGAAAGACAGATCTACTCACCCAAAATGGAAGATTCTTGTTTATGATGCAGTAATCTATATAGCCTTGAGACTATTCATCTTACTGATTCTCTTCGTAAGAAGCTAGATGATGCTTTTCATTTACGTAGCCTCAGAAAGATCCTGCGGATTCCTACCACATACGTTGACCGACGGTATACGAACCAGCGAGTTTACGGAACAGCTACACGCATGGCTTATCCAATAGGAAACGACGCTTGATGAAAAACAAGCGAAACTCGCTGCGCACATACTCAGATCGTCGGACAATGACCCAATGAGGCAGGTAACTTATAAACCTGGCAGTGCAAATGCAGTAGAAGTTGGTAAACGTCTTGTCGGTAGACCTAGACAGCATTGGACTGTTCATTCCAACCAACTCATCCACGACTCAATATCTCACACTGATTATCATGCGTACGACTTCCAAAATGAAAGTATCCTTGCAGCAGCACGCCAGCGTCGAATCTGAAACCATGTTCCGTCCTACGCCCTGGTGCCCAAGCATCTTTTTCTGTTGTTTGCTGCGGACGTCAGCAACGGATGCATGGCGAAAAATTGTTGTTCTTTTTTGTGGCGCATATAATAAACCCAGGAAGAGTAGGAGAATTCAATGCAGCAGCAAAGAAATCAATAAACCGTACGATACCGGATTCTTTCGGTACCCTAATGTCGTGTTTTGTGCGCCAAACAATGAAGGGTTCTACTGTCACACAAGCGAAGGTGTCGATGGTTTAAACCATAAACCCTTTCGCTGTTTGTCTTGGAATCGCCTCACTCATCACAGCTTTCGAAACTTTTACAGCTTTGACCTGGAGCTCGGCCTGGAGTAAAAAGCAAAAGAACTCGTGGCAATTCTAAACATGTCGAAAGTCTAGAGTCTAAAGTGCTTGCAAGTCTCAACTCGGCACTTATAACTATATACAGCTCACCCTGACTTGCCTTGCATCACAAGAGGATGGCATCACACCAGTGCTGCTGGCACTGCCTTTCACAGCCAAGCCTGCCTACAAGCGCTGGAGGGTAGTCAAATCCCCAGTACAAGCGCGAAGATTCATTTCGTATTTGTCACTCCAAGCATTGCTCTAGACTCTAGACGATACAAACCGTTATATACTTTCCTGACTTGCCTGCAAGCCAGAGAGTCCGAGCTAGTTCTTGATTACAGTGCAATTGCTTTGCAGTCGCTTGCCCCTGTTGAAATATGTACGCAGCAATCCTTGGACATACGGATACGACATCATATGACCACAACTGCGCAGAATTCCGCATTTTCACACTCACCAGTCTCCTTCTGCCGTGCTCCCCGCCCACAAACAGGTCCACTTACGCATCTTACAGGCTTCACGAATGACAGGTGGCATTGGCCAGTCAGCTCTATAGTCAGAATTGGAATGCACGTCCCTTCACTGTTTGTTGGCAAATTGACACTCTCGAAGTAGCTCCATGTCCAAAAGGCCTGCTACCATCGCTTGAAAAGCGACAAACCCAACAAAAGCCATGGACAGTGACATCTCTATGTACCTCTAATTTTACCAGCTGCCCCCATGGGTACTTTAATCCTCAAAGTCCACTGTCTCTAGTCTTCAAATCTTTGCCTATGGCTTGTGGCGGCGCCACCATTACCCTCAGGAGAAATGTCAGGTGCATTGAGGGAATGGATGTCACCGCATTCCATTGTCCATCACAACTGGAACCAAATCTCTCCAGTAGCTGAAACACTTGGCAACACAAGGAAACATAACTCCGTGTTGATTTCCACTTCTGCACTTCATAGATCTTTGATCTTCTTAGCAAGCTTTTCTTATCCACAGCTACAAAGAGAGTCTTGAAACCATGAAACTTTGCAGCAACTTGCGCTCCCTGTTGAGGAGACTGTAGACTGTAAACTACAGTACATGCCGTGTGTGTGTGTGAGTGCAAGCTGCTGGTTGAAAGACTGCTGCATGGGAAGTTGGATCTCCCCACATGCGGAACCAGAAGCACAACATCTGTACATGAAACCAGTAAGCTTTGAGCTCGGATCGTGGACACTAAAGTGGTTAGTGCCACACCGCATTGCCGACGCAGCTCAAGACTCAACAAGGGACATTCTGTAGTGCAATTTCTTGAACTCTATATATATAATTAACTATATATTATATAACACATAAGTATGAGTCAAAACAAGCGAGCTGTGCTTGTGCTGGTCAGCTCATGGAAGTCAAGGCTTTCCTTGACAGCACTACCACTGTGTAGCTTTGACAGCATAAGCTGTACGGCAACAACCTATGTCATATCTGGTGGCCAAAACAATTTAACCAAACAAGTACTAAACTAAACACAATGGTAACACCAGCTTTGCCGCCAGTAGCCAGTATCAAGAGCTCGTGCCTCACGTGCCTCAGGTGAGTTCCGGCCGGGTTTGAGCAACATGCCATCCAGCGTCAGAAGTACTTGATTACTTCAGCTAGCTGGTCAGGTCAAGCCTGAATGTCCCACCCAGTCAAGTGTCCGTTGCGTGAATGGCCAAAAGCAGAAAGAGCTCAATGCCACACCTCGAAGCACTGGATTTGCAAAGGATGCTGCCGCTGGAAATGCTACTCGCTACTCTCTTGACATACTGAACATCCCCAATCCCCAACTCCTGCCTGGACAGTGCACGAGTCCTTGTGCGAACACTCTTGGCACACCTGCAGACTCGCTCATCTCCAAGTATCAAGGAGATGCTGGAGCATAACGACCTGCCAGATTGCAAGGCATCTCAATGAATTACGCATGTCCACACGTGTCTATGAGTCTATCCGAGTCTATCCAACATCTAGGGATTCGACGGCTAAGAAGCATATCAGTAGCTGTTTTCCCAGTGCAGACAGGCGCAAACCTCAGTAAGAAGTCTGGTCCCTACAATTTGTGCTTTAATCCAGTCCACCGCACAACAGTCAGTGTTCTCGCAGAATCTGCTGACAAACCAATCACAATAACAGTATTTCAATGACAAGCAGCTAGCTGCTTCCTGGGTCGTTAGAAATGGCCATTGGTTCCACATGTTCTTCTTCATCAAGGTGACCGCGACGCATGCGTGACTGTTGTGCCGATCAATGAACCAATGGCTTTCTTGTGGATGTACTGAGTCAAAAAGGTCTGAGTCAATCACGGGTTCCGTCTTCAGGGCAACACGAAGCCGTTGTTCACTGAGTTCTATCTCAACATGTTTCTCGTTGATGGTTTGGTCCACGGGGATATACAAACGAACCTCTCTGCCGTCCTTTCCAGCTTCTTCCCATTGGTAGTTTCGAAAGCGGCGGGCCATCCGAGCCCGTCGCATCCGAGACAGCGCCCGATTTGATGGTCGAAACATCTGCGTGACCATCGTAGCTGCGCCCATAGCGAGCATTGATAGTAAGCCAGCAGTGCTGTTGCGCGGGCGGCTGCGGCTTTGAGGATGCACCCCAGTCACTTCAGTCACTCCGCCTGCCATGTTCAAAAACACGCATGTAACTTCATGTAACAGTGCATTCAATTGGGCAGTTGCCCCTAACGCCTTCAGGCGCCTGTGGCTGATACGTGAAAACCCTACTGTATGAACCTTTCCAGTATTGGGTGTTTTCCGGGAGGAATGGATGGGGGAACAATTCCGTCCGTTGTCGGTAGAGGGTACTTTAACTTTGGTTCGTTTTCAGAAGACGGTCATGTCATCCATGTGTGCACATTGGCTGGCAATTGTTTTTTTCCATGAGACTCTGCGTTGACCCGTTGCCCTCTCTGTCTCTCAGTCTCTTTCTCCTTTCTCCTTTCTCCTTTCACCTTTCACCTTTCACCGTTCACCTTTCACCTTTCTCCTTTCTCCTTTATCTTTTTTTTTCTCTTTCTTCTCTCTCTCTCTCTCTCTCTCTTTCTCTCTCTCTCTCTCTCTGTGATTTTGTTGCGTTGGTCCGTGACCCTCCTCCGTCTGATCCTGTTTGGTCATGTCTGGTGTTTTTTTCGCACTGTTGACTTCTCTTACCTCAACAGCATTCTTCATTCGCATGCGTTTCCTCGAGATCGCGTTTTGGACCTGCACACAGTGCATTGATTGATGCAGTTTGGGGCTCTGTCAATGACACAACCAAAAGCATTTCCAGAATCCCCTGCCCAGATTGCCAATTCGAAGTCGCACTGAAACAGCCGTCACTGAGCAACTCCAAGGATTTGTTTCGCAACCCGCGACAGCAAGCCGCTAGGCAACCCCAGGTGTTTCAATCAAGTCGAAATACTGTTCTCACGTTCATCATATTGTTTATCGATGAGAACATACAGTTAGCCCGCCACCCCAGAGTTTCATTTTCATAGACCCCAAGAAACATGTTTGAAATCAGGAAAATGAAACAACTGAAACAAAAATTGTTGCAGGTCCGAGCGTGGAGATAGTTCCTGGGATGAAATATCCACACAAGAAACCAAGGCTATTTAGAACAACACATCCATGTCTACGCGTGAGCGATACATATAACTATATATATATCAACGAGACATGACGCCAAAGAAAATGGCACTGATGACAGCCAGATTATGCGTGGAAAGCACCGCCGAAACGTGAAGCACCACGATGGCGATATTGCCGATGGTAATGTAATGACAATCACGCATTCTAAACCTACCCACTCACTGCCGGCGGAAAAAGCCAAAAAAACATATCCCGGCAAGAGACCCCAAACAGTGTGTGTGTACTTCTTGGAGTCATAGGGATCCTTTCGGATTGCTTCGCTGACTTTAATTTTGAAGGAGCAGGGGGCCGGAGGCAGGCAGGTGGGGGGCCTCCGGCCAACGAAGACACCCCCCACCTGGGTGTAAACGTACCTGCACTTGTGACAACACTCCACTCTTCCACCGCTGTGGTTTGTTTCCATGGTGTTTGCATGATGTTCCCCTAAACTTCCGTTTGAGGGCCTCCAGGCTTCTTTGGTTTTCACTTGACCTGCTCAGGATTTGGACCAAATCAGTACGCAGTTCCATAAGTGTGTCTGGCCTCGCGCCAGCCCAGGGTGAGCCCGCAGAGTGCCCCCTGTGGACCAGCTCGCAGCGAGCGTAGGAGGCTTCAGCCAAAGTTACTTGCCAAGACCTGACGAATTATTGAATTCCAAGCTGGCCGCCTCCGGGCATGCGTTTAGGTGAGCATAGCGGTCAGAGCAGCCAGCCATTTTGGCACGGCGTACGTGGCCGCAGCGGCCGAAGCTTGTTCAAGGCTCGTTGGAGCCTGTCCCACTCTTAGGTGCACACACAGCGTTCACACGTAAACGAGGTCTGCCCAAGTGTTTCTAATGAGGCTTGGCTTCCTCGGTTCTCGTCCCCTCCATGTTTGGTTCCCTGTTCATCCTTTTCCCCTTCACATACATCTGTTTTCCTCTTTTCTTTCATGTCTTCCTGTCTTCATGTCTTTTCATCTCATCTCTTTTCTTCTTTTGCGCACACATGGCCGGGCTCCTAGTATGTTCGCGCACAACCTACTTCAACACAGGTTTTAGGTCGCCCAGGTCTTTACAATGAGGTGGGTTTTCATCGGTTGCCCCTTGCACTTGGTTCCCTTTCATTGCAACCACACATACCTTTGCCCCGTCTTGTCCTCTTTTCACGTCTTCATTCGTTTGTCTTACTGCGCACACACGTACACAATCGCCTAGACCTTAGAGTTTCTCGCCTCCCCTCCAAAAGCCTACCCCTTGGAATCATAGGGATCCTTTCGGATTGTTTCGCTGGCTTTAATTTTGAAGGAGCAGGGGGGCCGGAGCCAGGTAGGTGGGGGGTCTCCGGCCAACGAAGACACCCCCCACCTGGGTGTAAACGTACCTGCACTTGTGACAACACTCCACTCTTCCACCGCTGTGGTTTGTTTCCATGGTGTTTGCATGATATTCCCCTAATCCTGCCTTACTTTTAAGATTTCTTGTGTACTGCAGACCTGCACGCTACGTCGTCATTTGTCGTTTCGGCATCGGCTTGAGATTTTGGCCCCACTTCCGTTTGAGGCCTGGATTCTTTGGTTTTCACT